AGAGCTGAGGACACAGGGAAGAGAGAAGCTTCAAAAATGAGAGAAAGAGGAGAAAGGACAAACACAAAACAAAACAAAATAAGAGAACATTACCAAAAAATAATCCACCACCACGGGAGGTGAATCACTGTCACAGGACTGGGAGGGTGCTGTGGATTTTGGAAGCAGCCAAGGTGGAGGCATATCAGCCAAGGCAGATGCAGACAGACCCCATGTGTGCTGTGCCCTGGGAAGGGCAGGCACCAGGCAGCACTGTCAGAGGGCTCCCAACAGCTCCATCCAAAACAATGCTGACCATGAGTTTGGTCACTGGCCTTGCGGTGGGTTCATGCTGGGTGCTGCCCTTCACATGCTGCCCAGCCTCCTTGTGCCACTGGCAAGCTGATTCAAAGCCTGGCTTGGGCAGAGGGCAATGACAGGGATGGGATTATGCTAAATCAACTCAGGAACTGGTTCACCATGGGAGCCTGGGCTGTACCAGCCCAAGGAAAGCACAGTGAGACCTGCATGGAGCTTTAAAACCACACATGGAAACTCCTTCACCTCTAGAAGGTCTGCAGGCAGAGCAGAGGGCTTTCCAGGCCCCAGACCTGGATCTCCTCTCCCCAAAAGCAAGCTGGGAGAGCTGCAGCTGTGCAGGGCTGTGACTGCCATACCTGTGGATCTGGCTCAATGTTGATCCGGTATGCCTGAGCCTTGCCGTCCTCCAGAACAGGGGGTGACCAGGTCTTCCCTTCAGCTCTGCAATGAGAAAGTAAGTAAACTCCACTTAAACTGCTTTGAAATAAACAAAAAAACTCACAGAAAACCCAAACAAACAAAAGCAAACAAACAAAACCCACAAAAAACCTAATGAAGAGTCAAAGCAAAACAAACCCCAACCAACCAAAAAGCCCCCAAAACACAAAAGAAAACCCCAAAAAGCCATGTATATATATATATATATATAGTACTTAGGCCTGCCAGAGAATTAATATCTTATATATGTGTTTGTTTAAAATTATCCTCAGAAATAACATAGTGGTAAATAGAGAAGATGCCAGTTCCATGCTATTAAAACCATGAAGCTCAAAACCATCCTTGAACTACAAGCTCTGGCACAGCGTGAGGTTTAAGATGCAAACTTATTTTGGTTGAAGAAATCAGTGGAGAGGCTCATGGAGGCTCATTTTGCATATTCTTAGCTTTGTCCCTTTATTCTGGCCCTGAATCCAGGAAGTATTCTGATTGTGTGTGCACATAGATATATGCATACATAT